TTCAGCTCCTCTTCACCACACCAAATCTTTGCTGCTCTCATTTCTTCTGGGTAACTAACTGCTCAGCATTGCCTAAACACAGGCAATGTTCTCCATTCCAAGCACCCAGCAAACCCAGACCAAGGAACAAAGGCTCCTGTGCCAGGAGGCTCCAAGAGCACAGGAATACCCAAGCCGTGGGGAGTTAGGGCCGCAGATCTGTGCCCATGACACTAGGCTGTCCTTTTGGAGAAACAGGACTGTTTCCAGAAGCAGTGTGATCCAGGAACTTCTGTGTAATCCTGGGCTGATGTCACCTGAGGAGGAAAGGCTTCATGCGCTCCGCTCAGGCCCTTGATGGAGTCCAGTGATGCTGCCCTCAGCACTAACTTCTCTGAGGCACCATGCTCTCAGAGAAGGCTAACAGGAAAGAGAGGACAGGCAAATGTGTCCAGTGACACTGTTACCTTCCAAATGACAAGGAACCACACACAAATCTAAACTCCAAGAATGGGCCCCAGGCTATGTGGCTTCAGAATAGTCTCTGTCCTTTGGAAGGCACCCTTTGTCACCTACACTGTTTCCCTCAAGTGTTTCTTCACTCTGTAAGTCATGACCTGAGTGAGTAAAGATCACCAGGCAAACCCTATACCTGCACATATGACCGTGCTGAATTTTCAGCCGCTAATCTGACTGCTGCTCCAGCTGACATGTGCCATTCATGCCACCATTAATTACAGACCAATTATGAGCCGAAATGCCTTTGATATGACAGCCCATCCTCCCTTTGTGTCCGCCCTCCTCTGCTCTTCACTGCAGTGAAAGTCCCCACCAAGAAGCAGGCTGGCTGGCCCACAAGCCACTAGGCGATCCTAAAAGAGAATGAAAGATACAAAACAGGGAGGAGAAGGAGGGGAAGGAGGAGGGAGAGAGGGAGGAGGAGGGGGGAGGAGGAGGGGGAGGAAGAAGAGAGGGGCCCAACCAAGACAGATTCCTTAGCAGGGCTCAGGGCAAGTCTCCCAAAGCAAAACATCAAGGAGTCCTAAAGATGACCAGGCATCTTGTAGATACATCCACTCTGTCCCTGTGACATCCTCAGGGACAGAGAATTGTACAGCTTTTGTTCTAGACCCCTGTCTCCAATGGGCCTAGACCAACCTGAGATTATTACTGCCTTTCCTGCCCTCCCCACAGGTTCCAGGTCTGAGAACAGTTTGTCACTCTTAGAGGAATGATTCATTGATAAGTCTGTCCTCCCAGCCACAGGACCACATGAGGGGAGACCTGGGCTGCGTCCAGCCTCTTGCCTCCCCACAGCCCCTGGGTCCTCACTGCATAATAAGCACAGCCACTCAGTGATGGCCGAATAATATCTTCACAAATGCCTCTGGAATCTCCCCGGATGGGGGCATGAGTAGAAATCAGCAAGGCAGCACAGGCCAGCCAGCCATCAACCATCAAACCACACGGCTGGTGACTAAGGACACACCTGGTCCAACCTCCACATTCAGGCCTGTACACATGCATGGGCAGTGTCTCCTCTCCTTTGAAGAGGCCCTGCTGCCTCTTGGGTATAAGTCCTTGGAGCTAATCAGTCACCCAGCAACTTTAATCCAGGCTCCCAACTGCATGGGAACACCCATGATCCTTTTGCCCAAGTTAGGGCAGGGAGCACCACGTACCCAGGAAGAGGCGTGAATCAGAGGCTGTTTAGGCAAGTCTTGTGGCCTGGTCAACTGGCAGGCACCCTCTACCTTCTACTCCAACACCAGGTCCTGGGCAAGGTTAAAGCGTCAGCAAATATCTCAGAGCACCATGGGAAAAGGGGAACAGGGAGACCCCAAGACAGAGGCACCTGCATCCACAGAGAAAAGCAAGCAGGCTCAGGAAACAGAGGCAGGGGAGCACAGTGGGAAAGAGCAGGCCAATGTCTCTATTCTCCTTGGGCCCCTCCCCATGATGTCCCCACACGCAAAGGGGACAGATCTCAAAAAATAAGAGTGAGCATGTAAGATGATAATCCCTCAAGGTACCCCCACTTCAGCCCTGGACACACTGCTGCTCTCCTTAGTGCTCTTCCTCGGTCCCCAGGTGCAGAGGCAGCTGCAACAGATGGCTACCTGTGTCTTCAGCCAACAGATGGGAGACACTGAGTTAAGAGAGGTCAAGCACCCATGGCCACTGCTGCAGGGAATCCTTAGCTCTGCAGGAAGGGGAGCCTGGATTTTCCATTACGATGAGCTGACCTTTAACGGGATCTCTTTAACGGGATCTCACCCTGATAGTAAATATGGGGACCGAGTATCTGCATACAGTTTGCACCTTTTAAGGCGCAGCTCCCTGCAAACCTGGACACATTATCTTTCCAGGTGCGGTTCAGGGACCTGCAGGTAGGCAGGACAGACACTACTACTCTTCCCTATCTCAGATGAGACAACTGCAGTCCTCAGGGGTGCAAGGAACTCATCACGTCCCAGTGGTCTTCCTCAGCTGTCACTCTTACACTGTGACCTGGAGAGGAACCTCAGTCCAGCCAGAATTCAAGTCTCCACATGGAATGCAACTTCAACTCCCTGTTGAAATGAGAAGGAGCCACAGAAGCTGCAATCTGTTCCAGAGAAAGAAGTCAGCTGGAGCCCAAAACCAATGTGGCTGGAGCTGTGGCCACACCATTTGTTATCATTCCCTCGCCCTCCTTACTGGAGGCTTTGACTGAAGAACTCCTAATATAGGGCTGTGCTTTCAGGGTGCTATGATTTCCTGCTTGTTTTCCTGGGCCTCTAGTTCCTCCTTCCTGGAACACAGTTGGGCTCCATCAAAAATCTCAGTCCTTTTGTGCATGTCCCAGAACCCAGGGTGCCCCATCATTAACAGCTGTGCCTGTGCCCCATACTCCACCTGCCTGCTCTTGCCTTCTGCCCTTCCTCATTGCTCCCACCCCAGCTCCAGTATAGCAGAAAAAAGGCCTAAATTCAGGGCTTTCAGAAAAGCTCAGTTTTGTAATTAGAAATAATATGTGCTTTTTTCTTGCCTTCAAAGGAGGGAGTCAAATGACAGAGTAGAGGTTAAAACATCACAAAAATACAGCAATGTATAATCACAGCAGCAACAGACAAACACATCCAGGCATCATAGTAATAATACTTTTAGAAATAATACAGAAGCTGGTATTAAATGAGTATTCACCATGTGTCTGCCCGTCAGGTGCATCATTCTCAACTATTCTCACTTTCCTGCTGAGGTGGGAACTGCCAGCCCCATTTCATAGATGAGAAAAATAAGGCACAGGGAGGTTTCAGGCACCACTCCTAGCAGTCTGGCTCCAGAGCCCGTGCTGTCAAACCGAACAGCTACCATTATTAAACATACTGCCTCCAACACAACCTGTCATTAGTTGAACATGTTAAGTTTAACAAAAGCCATTCACAAAAGTGATCTCACCTAGGCTTCCCAACACCTGTCCATATCATCTGTAAGGCATGAAATTCATGTAGTTTCGTGTGGAGAAAACCAGTTCAGAGAAAAGTCTTGCCCAAAGTTCCCAAGCTGGCTGATGGCAAGACCAAGATTTAAATACACAAAGCTGTCCCCTGGTTTGGTGGCCTTGACACCAGCAAATACACACACCCCTTCTAAGCCACTGCCCTCAGCAACATCTCAAATGTGCCCTTCCTGGTCACACCCAAGGAACAAAAAGGCTGTTATAAAACATGGGGTCAGGGCTTCCACTAGCAGCAGTGGGTGCCACAGACTGTGTGGCCAGCCAGATCTCAGGGTCCTAGAGCCTCTGAGTCTCTGGCTAACCGTGCCTGATGGATCCAGGCCTCAGCACACACAGACGTTCTCTCAGTGACACAGGCTGCCATCCTCGGCTTGACCCAAAGAGTCCAGCCATTTCCTAAACCTGTTATGTAACTCTTGCTTCAACCAGACCCTGGCTGGGATTTCTCCCTATTTCAACACATTTTGTTTTCTCTGCAGAGAGAAAGCATGAATGTGAAGCCATGACACCTCAGTGACTAGACGACAGCCCTTGTGGCCCGTCTGGTATGAGAAGGGAGGAGGACATTTCCAAAGGCTCCTCTGTGAGCCAAGGTGAGCCTCCAGAAGGACTAACAACCATAAAAGGAGCAGAGGGGAGGATGGGCAGGAAGGGGAGACGGCAACTGGGGATCACCGTCTCCTGCAGCAGAAGGAACCCATTCAAGAGACCTGGCAAAGAAGCCATGCGACCCTACCCTGAAAGCTCCAGCCTTTAGGACAGCAGCCCACTCCAGCATCTAGACACCCCGATCTTGTTGGTTTAGCCCAAGAACAAGTATGGTCCCCCCCTCATTCACAATGTGGCTTTCTGTGGCTTCAGTGACATGGAGTCAATGTGAACAGAAAACATCACACGGAAAATGCCAGAAGTAAGTCATAAGTTTTATTACAGTGTATTGTTACAATTGCTCTATTTTACTATTGGTTATTACTGTTCCTCTCTTACTGTGCCTAATTTACAAATTACATTTTATCATAGGTATTATGCATCAGAAGAAGACAGTTTGTGTATGGACTTCACCACCATCTATGCTTCCAGGCATCCACACGACGCCTCGGAACCAACGTAGCCCCAAGGATAAGAGCGGGCTATTGCACATTTCCTCAATGGAAGCCAACGCTCTTGCCTCAACTCAGGGTCTAACTACAGGGATCGTGCTTGCTTTGGAAATGGGGGCTAGGAATTCTTATTTTTGTAGCCTGGTATTCTTATCCTAGAGCCTGGCAAAGAGGGTGCTAGGTAAATATGCAGTGAAACAAGTGGCTTGGTAGGGAACAGCCTCATCAGAGCAGAGCTGTGGCCCACTGAGTCCTACCACAAAAAAGAAAAAAAAAAAAAAAAAAACAGACAAAGAGCTGAGGTGGTCTTTTTTGTGGCCAAGATACATTACAGATTAAAACCAATGCAAAACAAGACAAAAGAAAAACTAGCATTTATTTGAGAGCGGGTTTTAATATTTAGGGGTTTTTTTGCTCTGTTTTTTTTTTTTTTTATTTAGTTGGGTTTTCTTCATAACAGCCATGTTTTCACTCATTTAATCAACATTCCCAGAATACTTTATGCCCCACACTTGGGGAAGGGAGAGTCAGAAGAATTCTGGAAGGGGAAAGTGTCTCAGGCTCCATGCAAACCAGGCACAAGCAGGTCAAGCTGAATGTGGAAGACAGAGACCACCAGAAGTGAACTGCAGAAAGATGGGGCTGCTCCTCACCCTGCCTCCCCTTCTACCCTTCCCACCCCCTACCCCCTCCACACCCAATCCCAGCAGGCTCTGCTGGGGGGTGGGCTAGATTTTCCATACCTCCATGGCAGGACTCCAGTTGGATAATAAATTCCAAGATCCAGGCCCCTGCAGGAAGCTTCCTATGTTAAACATGATCCCTGCAAACCTGGCACTGTGGTCTAACCCAAGGCCCCAGGCAGGCTGTAAAACAGGACGCTGCTACTCTTCCTGATTTCAGATAGGGAAAGTGAAGGCTACAAGCAAGCTGGAGGGGCTTTGAGGCCGGGAGAACAGGAGCAGTGACGAATGACTTGCAGAATGAACTGCAGGGTTTACACACCAAATGCTTAGTGAGCACCCACTATGTGCTGGATACTGTTCCTGGCAATGGGATTGCATGGAACAAAACAGCAAACACCCTGACCACTGAGAGGTGACATTCTAATGAAGAAAGAGATGCCATTAGCAATAGAAATAACGCTGCAACTATTTAAAAACAAGTGAATATATATAAGCCTACAGTGGTGTGCTTTTGAAGAGAATAAACCTGCAGAGAAAAACAAAGCAGGACATACTCACTTGTGTGTATATGGGGCGGCAGGGCAGGGGGGTGAGTGGGGGGGTGGCAGGGTAGCCCAAGGAAAAGGACAAATCCAAGACCCCTGAACCAAGATAGTAGGAAGGGTGAAGGAAACAAGTTCAAGAGATGCTACAGACTCAGAAGTAAGTGGACAGGTCTTCCATGGATCCGGGACAGTGGCTGGGGAAAAGTGGAAGGTGAGACCAAGGTGCAAGGGCAAGGGCCTAGGCAGAAAGGCAGGATGTCCATGCTAAGTCCAGGCTGTGAAGTGGCCAAGGTGACATGTGTCCAGGCAACTGGAGATTCAGCTCCTGAGAGCCTGGACTGGAGATATGGATCTGAGAGTTATCAGGACACAGATGGAAACTGAGCCATGTGCTGGGGAGACAAGAAGATGGAGGGGAGAATTCTGAGGCCCAGGTGGCCCAGGGAGCTGTGGAGAAGCCAGACCCACAACAGGAAATGGAGGGTGGCAAGGAGAGGGACCAGCTCCTCTGGAGGATTAACAAGGAGATCAGTAACAGTGTTCTCCAGGTTTTAGGAGTAGTGGGTGCAAAAGTCAGGGGTAGTAGACGACAGGTAAGGAAGCAGAGGCCTTGTGTCAACAGTCCCTTGATAAAAGGAGCAACAAGAATTTGTCTGCCTTCAGGAAGAAATGTGAGGGCAGAGCTCAGGGGATGGGGGGTCCAGGTGAGCCATCTGGGGTGAGCTCATGTATTTAAGATGAAGAGACAGGCTTGAACCTATAGAAATGCTTCTGTGAAGGAGACAATGGGGGGAGACTAACAACACTGGAACTAGGTCACCCAAGAGAGAGGTGACAAAAATGATACCCTTCTGAGCCACCACTGTTTATTGAGAACTTCCTCACCAAGTAGTGCAGCAAGAGCTTTACATACATTGCCTCATTTAATTCTCTCAACAACCCTGCAAGGTAGGCCCTGGTGTTAATGTTTCCACTTTGCAGAGAAGAGACCTGAGTGGCCCAGATATAGAGCCAGGACTCAAATCCAGGTGTGTCTTCCTTCCCCACCATCACTGACTCACCTTAGGGACAACTGTTCTCTTACAATGGGGGTAGAAGGCAAGAGCTTGGAAGGACGGTGACCATAAGATGAGTTTCCCATCCTGGTTTCTCTATGAACTAGGAAGCGAGATGCCATACTGAGGCTGGATCCATGGAGGGCAGGAGGGCTGAGGAGCAAGAAGGCAGCCTGAAGCAGACAGTGTGGCAGACAAATGCTCATGAGACCCTAGTGAGGATGGTCAGCAGAGCTGAGGGCCTGCGGGATGCTAACTGCTCCTTGAGGACTAGCTGTCCCCCGGTGGATAGATCAAGGTCAACACAAGCCCAGTGTCGGAACAAGCTAAGGCAGAGAAGCTGCCTACAGAGATGTAAATGGATTCAGATAATGAAACATCTGAATTGAAGACTTCAGAGGCAGGAGGGCTCTGGTGTAGGATGAGGCACCATGAACATAAACGCCACTGATCTCGAGGGTGTGAAGAATGAAGAGATTGGGGACTGGGATGTAACTAAGTATAGTACAACGGCCTAGCATGAACAAGGCCCTGGGAGGGCAGGAGGGAGAGGGAGGGAGGGGGAGGGACGGGGAGAGAGAAAGACTGGACATGAGTCGGGACCACTAGGGTGCTCAGGTCCACAAGGTTCTGCTCCAAAGAGCAAATGGGACAAAAGCCCTCTTCAACAAGGTGCTTACAGATGGTGAAGACATGCCCAAATCAAGGCAGGAAAAGGTTTGGGAGCACACCCCCACCCCCAACACACAGTATGTCTCCAGCTCCTGTGTGCATTCACATACCTGTGTGATCTAAGCAGTGCAGTTAATTAAATCCCTCGAGTAAACCCTAAATGTGGCTCCCTGTTAAAAAGCTAAGGTTTATGTGTCAATTAGAAAAATTAATTTAATTTTTTTTAAAAGATGGGGCTCCCTCTGCTACTGTAGTCCTGGGCATCACCCTCTAGCCCTTGTGCCCCAACCTGTCCCTCCCCCATTTCTGGACAGGAGAAAGGACCTGTGTGGGCCAAGTGACAACTCTGAGATGGGGTGCAGATACAGACATCATCATGAGGAAGTGAGGACTGTGGGCTAAGAATGTCCCCTTTTTCCTCATTCCCACCTTCCAAAAAAAAAAGCACCCAGTGAAGAGGAAGAGAAAAGAAGGGAAGATTGAGACTCGAAGGAGAGAAGACAGGGAATGGAGAACATCTGGGATTCCATGCCCTCTTGAAGCTGAATGGTGGCACCTGTACTGTACTTTGTTCCCAAGCACTGAGGTGGAAGGCGGGGACTCTGGCAGCTGCCTGCACCCCAGCACCCTTCCAATTAGTCAGCCATGTCCAAGGCCAAAGCCCCAGGAGCAAACTCGCCCAGGGCTGCATGGGGTTCAGCAGGGCAAGCTCTGGATGTACACAAGGTCTGCCCCCATGGGCGTCCAGGAGGTTCACCCACAGCAAATGCTGTGAACTTGCAGCACACGTGCTCCTTCTGCACCAGCTGGTAAGAGGGTCTGGCCTGGGAAAGCTAGGGCAGGGCTTCCCGGACAAGCCACGCTGAAGAAGGGCTGTGAAAGGGTCACCGGAAGTTCCCGCACTTCAAATCTTTCCTGTTTCCTCTTGCTCCTGCTCTCACCACTGCAGACTCCGTGTGGTCTAAGATGCTGTGCCTAATCTGGTTGGAATTTCCTCCTCCACCCACCTGGCATGCTCCCCACAGTCTTGAGCACTCCTGACCAGACGTGGGGTTCTCGCTTCCACCCCAAGTGCTGGTCTAGGCCACTACACTATTTGCCACTTTGGAACACCAGTTAGAGGCTCCTGACAAGCCCAGGCTGGAGAGGAGCAGGTCATGGCCACTGCTGGACAAGAGCCCTGCAAAGACAGACCCTGTGCTCCCTGCCTTGGTTTCCCTTTGCTGTTCACTGTAGCCCTGGGGATGGCCAAAGGTCCCAGTAACCTGGTCCTGCACAGATGAATGAGCACTCATCTCGTGGAGAGCCAAGGGAAAGAGGAAGACACAGGAAGGAGCCAAAAACTTGCCTCAAGTCTTCCAAATAGCCATTTAATCATCTCAATGTTTGCCTGCTGGGACACCAAACATTATGGATCCTCAGATTCAATGGTATTCATGTGCCTTTGACCATAACCTCCAGCCAGAGGGAAATTTCACACTGCCACCTGTGGAACACACGTACGACCCAAACAGAATTTCAACAAACAGCTTCACTCCACACTGCAGGCCATGCCTGCTCATATTTTGTACTCTGACCAATCTGTGCCCACTAATGCGGTCATGACCCACAGTTTGAAAAGTTCCAGCCATTAAAGCAACACTGGGAGGTGACAGGGACCCCGTGAAAAAGCAACTTCACTATTTTAACTTTAAGCATCAGTGAGGCTGCCTTTCTGTACATAAAAACCAAGGAGTCCAGCTGGCTCAGGGTTGAAAGGTACCAGCCCTGGGTTTCCCAGTCCACACCTCCTAGGATAGAAAAACTGGAAAAAGCAGGCTGACTCAACACTCATTAACAAGTACAACATCAAAGTGAAAAATGCATGCCTTTTTTAAAAATCAAAGAAAACTTTTTCTCCTTCCAAACTACGATTTACATGGATTTGATCTCAGTTGTAATAATTATTTTGAAATTTCAAGTAACATAAAAGGACAAAGGAGTTATGTGTTCATAGAAAGGGAAGGAGGGTTAAAGATGTGGAGAAAGACTAAACTGGTGCACAGAGCCCATTTGACCAGTGACAAAACTAAGGCATAGAACAGTGCCTAAGCCCGGAAGCAAGTTAGGGGCAAGGCTGGCAACCCAACCCAGGTCTCCTGACTCAATTACTCACGGTTTTCATCATTCAAAATATTTAAGAGGGAAGCATTTCCATGACTGAGGCACAGAGGCATCCCTGCCACCTCATGCTAGGCACAGATATCAATGCTGATCTGGGTTGACCTTGGCACTAGCTGCCAGGTCAGCTGTGGGTTCATGCAAGCTTTGCTTGTGCCCTTTAACTCCCTCTATGCCTTCCGTCTCTGTTCAAAACTAGAAAGAAAAATCCTTGATCTCCTCCCAAGAAAGCTGCAGGGGAAACAAAAGGAGTTATACAACCAACCCTGCACACTTAAGAATAGCAGAGTACCTAGGGATTAGAGTCAGACTCCCAGAACTGGAAGAACTTACTGAGTAGCTAACCCAAGCCCTCATTTTGCAAACAAGCCCCAAAACATGAATGATTTCTCTGTGACAGTCAGAACAGCTCCTTCCATCATACATACCATGCTCTCTAGTCTATAGGTAGAACTGTTAGGGAAAGAAATACTAAGCACACATGTGAGTTCTGAAATCAAAACATACCAACGTGTCGGGCAGAAGGAGGGGCAAGGAAAACTAAACCCAGAGCATACAAACATGGCAGATAAAAACCTCAAGCGTCAAAGGGAATTCTAAAGGCATCACTAATTATTTCTAACCCTACAAATAAGCCAAGATGATGCTCAGAACTCATGGCACAGAGGCTACAGGCCTCAGAGGTGGTAGGGTTTCTTTGATGGAGTGTTCATCTCCGTGACACCAATGGGTTGGGAGCTTCCCACTCCTAACTTTCCCCAGACTCAACCCAAGGCTGAGTTTCAAATCTGGAAAATTTTACTGCATGTAAAGGGTTCTTTCCTGTACCAGTGCCACCTGGGGGTCTGTCCTATGTCTTCCCTGGAAGAGTTTTGAAAACCTGAGAAACAAGGTCTTCCCCATCTCCTTAGTGACTGTGACAAACAATGGTCATTCTTCCAATTCCACACTGGGACACTGGAGGGATAGAAAAGGCGATGACTCAGGCCCTGCAGCAAATTGGAAGACAGGCCTTGCCTTTCTAAGAATGCCCGCCTGTGC